CATATATATATAAATATATATATATAATCCCATATATATATAAATATATATATATATATATGCCATATTTCCCAGAGAATTTCCCTTCGCTCTTTCAAGGAAGTCCCAGAGAGTGTCTGTGGTACTTCAACTGTCTACTTTTATGTGGCACATGCCTATCATACAGAACTATCTCTAACCCAAGTCTGCTTTTCTCTTCCTTCAGTGAATTGTAGTTAGGAAACTCCCCATGAGACCACAGGTGTGGGCTGGAGAGGGAGAAGGTAATGGAGCAAGAGTGGAGGCTATGGACATCTGAAATTCGTCCTCATGTAAACTATTTGTGCCTTAGGGTCTACTTGAACTCGTTCACTTCCATTTGATGATGTGAACCTCCAATTTTATGGCCTGATAAATTGGATGACACCCAGTTGATGAGGAGCATGTCAAGTTCATGGTGACTTGGTATCCCATGGTTAAACATTCTGTATCTACTAATGGCCAATAGCAGAACAAGAGCTGTCTCTTAAAAGGGGAGTTGTTATCTAGAGAAGAGAATAGGGCTTAGCTCCAAAATTCTAAGGATCTGTCCTGTGAGTCACCTACAGGGACCTGCCACAGGCTCTAAGCAGCATCCCCGTCTGCCACTGCCACGCCGCATGACAGATCTTCTGCGTCATATGGTCCATGTGGTAGAGCAGCTTGCACAGCTGCCTAGACCTGCTGCAGAATCTTCTCATGTTCTGGACCCCAGTTGACTTCAGGAGCTTTTTGAGTCACTTATCTAAAGAGGCCATAGTAACCTACCCAAATGAGGAATACGTTACCTCCAAAACTTAAAGAGGCCCTCTAGGCCTTGTCCCTCTTTTCTGGTGATAGGAGAGGCTGACTGCAACAACTTATTCTTCACCTTAGAAGGGTATCTCAAATAACATCACACCACTGGACCCCAGGAAACTTCGTTGAGGTAGAAGGTCCTTGAATTTCTGTCAGATTTATTTCCCACTTTCTAACACACAACTGTCTTATAAGTAAGCCTAGAATAGTTGCTAATTCTCACATGTAAGATCCAATCAACTTAATGTCATCACTGCAATGTACCAGTGTGGAAAGGAAGAGTGATTCAAAATCCTTGTGAGATATTGACATAGGTCTGAAGACTGGATATCTCCCTGAGGTAGGTCAGTGAGGGTATATTGCTGCCCTGGCCAGCTGAAAGCAAACTGCTTCTGATGGGCCTTATGGACAGGAATGGAGAAAAAGGGATTTCCCAGGTCAATAGCTACATGCCAGGTACCAGGGGATATATGTTCATTTGCTCAAGCAATAAAACCACATCTGCTACACAGCTTCAATCAGAGTCACCACCTGGTGAAGCTTATGGTGATCCATTATCAGTCTCCAAAATCCATGTGTCTTCTGCACAGGCCAAATAGGTCAGTTGAATTGGGATATAGTGGGAATCACTTCTCCTGCACCTTTTGAGTCCTCAGTGATAGCAATAAATTCAACAATCTTTCTAGGAAAGTGGTATTGCTTTTGATCTGCTATTTCACTTGGTAAAGGTAGTTCTAGCAGCATCCATTTGGCTTTTCCCATAGCAAAAGCTCCTACTCCACATGTCAGGGAACCAGTGTGGGGGTTCTGCTGGTAACTGAGCGTGTCTATTCTAATTACACATTCAGAAATGGGGGAAAAACATCAGATGTGTTCACAGACTCCCCTGGTCTTACCCTGAGATGAACTTGAGCTAAAACTCCACTGGCTGCCTCCACAGCACCTTTTCTGAGTGGTGGACCACAGTTCTCTTTTGTGTATTCAGGAATCAGTGTTAATTAAGAGCCAGTGTCTGGTGGTTGCTGAAAGGTGTGATTATTTCTCTTTTTATTTCACGTTGAATTCAAATGTATTTACCCTTGTAAAAGATCGTGCATCTCTTTGGGGAAGGCCGGGAGCAAGATTAGCAATATAAACTTGTGGTAGGGTATCAGGGTCCTTCTTTAAGTGGCCTGACTCCCCTTCTCTATTAGTTCATTTGTGTTGCTATAGAGGAATACCGCAAGCAGGCTAATTTATAAAGAAAAGGGGCTTATTTTGACTCATGGTTCTGCAGGCTGTACAAGGAGCATGGCACCAGAATCTACATCTCCTGAGGTCTCAGGAAGCTTTTAGTCATGGCTGATGGAAGGGGAGTCAGCATGTCATGTGGTGAGAGAGGAAGCAAGAGAGAAAGAAGGGAGGTTCCAGACTCTTTTAAACAGCCAGGTCTGGCATGAACTCATTACCACAGGGAGGACACCAAGGCGTTCATGAGTGATCTTCCTCCGTGACGTGAACTCTTTCCACCAGCCCCACCTCCAACACTGGGGATCCCATTTCAACATGAGATTTGGAGCAGACAGACATTCAAACCACATCACCTTCATTCAAGGAAGCTCTGGTTCTGTCAACTGCTTCAGTTCTGGGAACCGAGTGAGAGCCGATGACTCTATCCTGGGGATTCATGCTAGACCTTCACGCAACATAGCACTCATCTGCTAATACTGATCGAGGCAAAGCTTAGCAGACTTCCTGTCTATTTTGCTTCTAGGGACACATGACCAGCTTGCCATGGCCTCCGTGAGTTAACCTTCTCTGATTACTGCCTTGGCCCAGATTTCCCATCTCATAACCATGGTCTCTTTGTGTTTGCCACTTGGCCCCTGCCATCCCAGGATCCAATTACTGCCATTGCGTGTGAGGATCCTGGTTCTGTGGCAACAGTTTCCATGGTGATTTTTTGCCTGCAGAGAAGAATGACCGAAGGGCTCTTTAACAGGGCCACCCCACAAATTTTTTCCTCAGTGTCAGGTTGAAAGGAGCCTTCTCTGGGCCCTCCCCGGGCGAGTGTGCGGTTCTTCCAACACCCCAGCCCTCCTACGTCATCGGTCGCCTTCCTCTGAAGTATACCAAGGCAATCCTGGCATTTTAATGTCATTTGTTATAAACCATTTTTTGGTCCACGTTTAAACTCAATCAACTAAACAGACTATCAGAACCCTTTCCAACACTCCAAATTTATATCCAGAATTTATGCTTAGTGGGGCAATATCAATCAATTTGACCTAGTTCAAATGTATGGGCCTTCCAATATTCACCAACATCATGAATATCCTTTCCACACACAGTCCCCAGAATTCTGTCTATATAAATTGAAAAAAATATGCAATGATTTTGGAGTGGAACACACGTGTAATGGGTTAAACTTTCCATCTCACTTTTTCTGCCTGTTGCGACTTGAATCTACTTACAGCTATAAAAGAAAAGAGGGTTGGTGGGGTTCCATCCTCGGGAGAATCAGCATTGTCTTTAGGACAACCACCTCAGTGAAGGACTCACTCTACCAGCAAACAAGACTCAGCAGAACTTAGGGGTTCACTGAGCCCAGCTTCATTGCAGCCTTCATACATGTCTTTGTTCCAATATTCAGGGCCTATTTATTCCCAGTCAATGCTTGCCTTTAACAGAAGAAACTCTGCTAGTCTGGGGGTTTAATTTGTGATGTGATTCAGTGACTAGCAGGAGGAGATGCTGGCTTAGTGGCTTAGTGTTCAGAAATATCAGGTTCATGGCTATAGGAGATAAGGGTATAATCTAGGATAGGTGTACGGGTTTTCAGGTCATATATGCACGGTGTAGGCTGGATATGTGAACTCCTACGTTCATCCTTTTTCCCTCTACTTTCTGTAGCACAGTTAAGAGGAAACAGCCAATCTCATCACATTCATTATTTGTTCTAAGTTATCAAATGCTTGGCCACTCAGAACTTTGCCTTACAGTACTTGAGTAGGAGTATTCAGTGGTGATATTGTGTGTATCTCTATTGCTCTCTGTGCTATGGACTACCAGTGTTCTTGATAATACTGGAAATAGGGTCTTTACTGCCTTATTCTAAGAATAATCTAAAGATTCTGTTATCTTTAGATAACAGAATCAATCCTGAAACCCAAAACCAACCCCCAAAAAACTTATTCTTAGAATTCTGTTCCTTTAAAACCACTGTTGGTACTCAAGTCTGTTTCAGTCAGGGCTCTACAGAGAAACAGAACCAATGCATATGTGGCTAACGTGGCTAGGGGCCAGCAAGTCTAAAATCTACATTAGTACAGCAGACTGAAAATTCTCATGCAGAAGCTGATGATGCAGTCTTGAGGGAGAATTTTTTTCTTCAGGGAAAACTCATCCTTGCTTTTTTTTTTTTTTAAAGACAGGGTTTCACCATGTTGGTCAGGCAGGTATTGAACTCCCGACGTCAGGTGATCCACCCTCCTTGGCCTCCAAAGTGCTTGGATTACAGGCGTGAGCCACCGTGCCCAGCCTCATGCTTTCTTTTAAGGCTTTTCAACGCATTTGTTGAGACCCACCCACATCATTGAGAATAGTCGCCGTTAGCTAAAGTGAGTTGATTATGTATGTCATCTGCAAAGAAACTTCACAGCGCCGCCTAGATTAGTGTTTGATTAGATGGCTGGGCTCTGTAGCACCTAAAGCTCACCACCACAAATATCGAGCACTTATTTGATTCAGGGGTCTGCAATGGGATTGTGGCAGCTCTGTCCTGGGAGGGATGTGAAGGTAGCTGGGTCGCACCTTGCACTCTGTGGGTCATATCAGAAGTTTGGCTCTGTGTGTGTCATTTTAAGGCCAGACCAATAGGACAGCAGCTTCTTGGGGAAACTGTTCTCACGCAATGGCAGAAGTGCAGGAGGGTGCGGGATACCTGTGAGGCCTGTAGAGAAACTGGCATATGGTCGTTTCTCCCCACTCATCGCTGGGATAGATGTAAGTAATTTTGATAATAAGCACAGACTATATAATGAAAGGTAAGGTAAACTATGCTCTAATTAATAAAGTTGTCTCTCACAGGCCTGTGGGTTAGCATTTCTTTCTTTTTATATATACTTTAAGTTCTGGAGTACATGTGCAGATCGTGCAGGACTGTTACATAGGTATACACATGCCATGGTGGTTTACTGCCCACATCCCCCATCATCTCCATTAGGTATGTCTCCTAATGTTATCCCTCCCCAATCCCCCACCCCCTGCTATTCCTCCCCTAGTTCCCCCAACCCCCAACAGACCCCAGTGTGTGTTGTTCCCCTCCCTGTGTCCATGTGTTCTCATTGTTCAATACCCACTTATGAGTGAGAACATGTGGTGTTTGGTTTTTCTGTTCTTGTGTCAGTTTGCTGAGACTGATGGTTTCCAGCTTCATCCATGTCCCTGCAAAGGACATGACCTCATCCTTTTTTATGGCTGCAGAATATTCCATGGTGAATATGTGCCACATATTATTTATCCACTCTATCATTGATGGGAATTTGGGTTGGTTCTAAGACTTTGCTATTGTAAACAGTGCAGCAATGAACAGACATATGCATGTGTCTTTATAATGGAATGATGTATAATCCTTTGAGTATATACCCAGTAATGGGATTGCTGGGTCAAATGGTATTTCTATTTCTAGATCCTTGAGGAATCACCACACTGCCTTCCACAATGGTTGAACTAATTTACACTCCCAAAAATGGATTAGCATTTCTTATGGTTGTATATGTACACTGGGATTGCACAACTGAGCACATGAATGGTTGATTATTGGAAACTAGATTTCTCATTGTTGGAGACTTATCCAGTGGAAATACTTGAGCAATTGTATGACATGTTCACTTTCTACTGAAAACGACCAATCTATTTCCTTTCACAGCAAGTAGTAATAATCTATCAGCAACAACATGGTAACACCTCTCATCCTATTCTACTACACTTACCTAAACAAGCATTCATCAATCTCGTACAGTAGAAATTTACAGATAAGCAAACAAAGAAGACTAGCACCTGTCATTGGTATTAGAGGTGGAGCATCACTAATAACTCTTGTTTACCTTGATAAAGATGAAGATGGTCTATATGGAAATGTCTGTGGATATGTGCATGCTAACACAGGTTAGTATACACACAGATATTTCTTTGCTCTGTCAGAAGACAGGGTCTAAAGAAAATGATTGGCTCGATCAATAAATGGTAGAGAACAGATGTGTCTCCTTGTGCAGAGTAATCTCAAATAATTTATATAGATAGGGCAGCCTCAGGAACGGGAAGCATAGCCTCCAATTCCTTAGGTGTGAGCTACTCATAATAACCTCTCTCCAGCCAGTACCGTGTGGAGAGAAGAGAAAAAAGGAACTTTGCAATAGAAAAAGCTGACAAACACAGTGTCAGCGGATGATAAGGTCAGCAAGCATTCAGGGTGTTAAGTCAGATTGTGTGCAGGTATCCTTGATTGAATGGAATGAAAAGGACGCTTTACTTCTGAGATCTTTCCCCCAAAACCCATAACCACACTATAATGATTAAAACGAACATCAGCATAATCTCAATGGAAGAGTATCTTATAAATTCCTGACCAGCATGCCTCAACAGTGCCAAGGTCTTTTCAAAAAACCAAAGTCTGAGAAACAGTCACAGCCAAGAGGAGAGGAGCCTGGGGAGACAGGAGGACTAAATGTAATGAGGTGCGTTGGAAGCAATCCCAGAACTGAAAGCAGACACTAGGAAGAACTAGGATGCTGTTTACACTTTAGATAGTAATAATGTATCGATAACGTTTCAGTAATTGTAATCAGTGTGACATACTAATAGAAGACGGTTACAGTAGAGAAAAATGTAAGTGGAGAACTGTCATAAGAGAAAATCACAACAAATGTAGCTAAATAATTGGATTGGCTTTTGTTGTTATTCATGAGTTAGGGAAGCATCTCCTTTAAACATTTAGACAAGGGCTTCTGATCAACTGAGCGTGGAGATGGGATTTATATGCAGAAAAGGGTTGAAGAAAGCAGGATAAAAGCCAAAACATATATTAGTCCTTTCAAAGTTACTTTCCTTTTAGGGTTAAAGCAGAGGGGACTTCTTTTAATGCCAGTTAAAATTGGCCTGTTTGGATATTTGGCTATGATTCCCTCTCCCAATGTTTTGGAAAGTCAAATAAACAACTTGCTTTCAGTTTGGTGATGTGAAGCTTTAGCATGAGTAACTTCATTTTGATTTAGTCTGTTAGAACCTAAGGTAGGAACTCAATCCAAATCAGTTACCTCCTATGAATTTTATCTAACAGTATGTAGGAATTCTCCGTGATTATATATTAATTATTTTTCTCAACAAACAACTGGTATTATTAACTAATGTTTTAATAAAAAGATTAGAATTTTAAAAAAGGAAAATATGCTAAAAATGGTAGAAGATATAGATACAGGACACACTCAAATGTTCCATATTATGAAATAATTAAAAATTTTAAATGTATGCATTAAAATTAAATTCAGCATATAAAACAAATATGAGTTTATGTTTAGATGGTTCAATATTGTCACGTCTATTTCCCTGGTTGGCTTTTAGTAGCAAGAAATTAATTCCAGACATCTCCTGTTTTTATATAATCAATACATGTCAAAAGTTTTCTTCTTTTGTAGTAAAAGAATAATTTTGCATGAGAGTTAGAGACAAGAAGATATTTACAGTTTCTTCAAATGAAATCTTTAAGAGCAATTTTGAAGCATAATTAAGATAGTAATAAAAAATCCTTTAATAGTAATGAGACCCACAATTCACAAGATTTACCTAGGGGAAATACTTAATAGATTATACCATGTGTTTGGTTACTACTGTTGATGGCTAATCTCTGTTCTTTCAAAGTCAATAGTAATAATCCATCAGTTCAGTGACAGCATGGTGATAACTCCTACTCTGTTTTATTGCACTTAACCTGATCAAACATTCATCAATCTTATATAATTAAAAAGAATTGTCAAAGAAGGATGCTATAGTTCACTCTTCCAAAGGCTGAGAGGTGGAGTAATTTTGAGCAGTATAGAGTCTTCTGTTTTGGAAACAATCATTTATTTTACTTTGAAGTCTCTTTTACTTAGCCATTATATTTTGGCTCTGCATTGCTTTGTTTTATAAGTGTCTTGGTGTCAACTTTCTGTGCCAAACATTGGTTTTGTTAGGTGTATCAAGTATTGAAAACACAACACTCCAGAATAATTTCACAAAAACCATTTAAGTGTATTTATATCTACATTCATCGTTTAGGTATTATAGTGAACACAAGGAAATCTGTTTTAGCTATTTCATACATTGATTATTCTTAATATTATTCACTCTGACAAATAGCTTGCTTCCTTACATCATATTGTTGTGAATAAAATTTTAAGTTCCAGAGAGAATTATTCATGCATGTAGCTTTTTAATTAAAAAGAGAAAGATTAGTCAACCTTTTTTTATGAGATAACCATATTAAAGACAACCTTTAATTACTCTTTTTGAAGTTTCTTTTCCAGTTGCAAACTCAGGTTTCACAATACATGTTGGGAATGAGCTCTCGCCTGCGAGGAGACGTTGATCTGATGGTATGTGGAGTCTGAACACCTGCTGACGGGGTGCAGAGGTGCCTGGAAATGCACACTCTTCATCACGCCGAACAATGGCAGGTGTTTATACTTCCAAAAGCCTGGGGATTAAGACTTTTTGTCATCTCTCCATTTCCCTCTCTTCAGTATATCCTTGTTCCTTCCAGGTGATTGTCAACACAATTTTCCACGAGTTCCACTTCATGATTTCCTACACTATATTAGTGTTCTTTCTTACACGCCGTGCTGTGCCTAATGGCTTACCATTTCTGTGTCTTTTCAGACGACATCCTTTGCGGTTCCATAGCACATGGATTTCAGAACCGCCTGTGAGGAGGTGAGTACAGAGCTTTCTACTTTTCAAACAGGGAAAACAGAATATAAGCAGGAAAACTTGGCTCCAATTTACATAGGGGAAACTCTACTTTTGGTGGAAGATGGGGAGTGCGGGCTGGGCTTTTTTCTTTCCAGGTTGTGTTCTCCTTCTGCAAAGATAGAAAATCTAACGGCATGGAAAGCCTCAGACTTTAACTCTTTCTTTAGGAAGACTGGAGCATATTGAATATAATTGAGATGCTCCTCTCCATCAGCTCTGCACTTTTCAGATAGTGGAAGTATGGGAAAGAATTCTTTTCATATAAATGGCAATAAATTAGAAGACATCTAAGCTTCCTTTGAGCCCTACAATTCTATGATTTTATGATTCTGATATTATTTAAGTAATTCAATATGATTTAAGTATTAATACACAGCAATTTAGATTCTCTGTAGAGCTGTCATCATATTTCAGCATGAGTTAAAGTGACACATTACTCTTTCAAGGATGTTAAAGAGTGTTCAAGTGTGCAGTTCAACAGTGCATGGACGTGGGCCCCCAGGGAATATAACCTTTCCATCTTAGGGAGAAACATTATGTTTCTTTCTTAACTAAATACGTGACATTCAAAGCATTGTTTTTTTATTCTTCAGGCAAATTGCTAATACATGCATTTTAAAAATGTTTTACATTTGCTTAAAAGCTTTAAATCATTTTTTGTTGTATATAAATAACCCAACAAAAACCAGCCATAACTGGATTACCTCTGGTAGTGTTAAAATCAAACCAGAGGAAAACTTCAGTTCTTAACCTTGTGAAGACTGCTTTTTAGTGAAATGTCATGTGTTTACAATTCTCGCATGAATTTGTGGAAAGTAACTCCTTATTTTCTTCTAAAGCAATTGCAAACGTATCTATTTAAAAATATTTGCCACAGTTGACACAAAGTTCAGGATGTAAATATAAGGTTTTTCAGAAAACTAATAAATTGCTTTTATATTTCTGTTCTTATGTTTCTACTCTTAATACTTCAAGCATAACATTTTAAACATATTTCTATGCTAACACTTGTCAAATTACAATGCAGTTTTTTGTTTACAAATCTTTCTCATGTGCTATACTGAATACTATCAGATCAGAGTGTATACATTATTCATCTTTTTAACTTAGCACTTATTGGTTCATACATTTTAAAAAATTGAATTAATGATCTAGAAGCTTTGTATTTAAAAGTTTAATTGTATCATTTCTGGTTTTAATTGCATACTTAATTTTAAATGTAGTAAGTCTTCTATTTAATATGTAACCTTATGTCTTGGGTAGTAAGGCACTCATTGAAACCGAGTGGATATTTGTATGAATGAGATACATATGGGACACACGAGATTCATATGAGAGAGACTGGACTGTGGCCAAATACTATTTTAACAAATGATTTATTTTGGATTTCAGAGGCTGGAATTTACAAGACCTTTCTGTAAACAAAATTGTTTTGATGTATTGATTTGGGATATTTCTCAAATCTGTTAAGATTCAGAAGATTCATTTATAATGATAATACTGTGATCTTCTTACCCTGACTTTTTAGGTAGTAGCTTTTTGTTCTCTTGTAAGTAGCCTGTTCAGAATCTATACTATTTTAGACTCTGTCTCTAGTAGGGAGTAAAAATGTCTCAAAATACTGGGCCACGGTATCCATGTGTGTTCCTCAGTTCTGGCAGGAACACAGAACTCTAAGGTGCTCTGAAGATGATCAAATTGCTCTGGAGATAAACCGAAGTTAAAGAGCTCACCTGAAATTTACCATCTGAGAACACTTAAGAGGACAAAAACAATTAAAGTCATTTAGCCTAACTGTCACTTTGCCTTAGAGGAAGTTGACAGGTTTTGTGAAGTACCAAGTAGTTACTTAAAAATAGAGCCATCACGTAATTTGGAACTCCTGATTCTAAGTTTAAATCTCATTTTACATAATAAGATACTGCATTGCTGGAAATGATATAGTCAAATTGTTACTTACCCCCCCAAAAAAGACAGGGTTTATTTATCTGACAAGTACCAAATGACTCTCCAGGAGAATGCAGGTTTTGATCAATAGTTTTATTACTTGGTGCAAGGAAGGACAGCACCTGTGGTATTCTTTGAAGCAGTGTCTCCCAGAGAGAAGGTGACAGGAGGGTTCTCTGGGGCAATGGAGCAGGCAGAGCGTGCAGGATTTCATGCAGAGGTGGGGCTTCAGTTGCTCAGACTCAGGATGTGATTACGCCAGCACACAGGCTGCACGTTTTGAAGCTGGAGCTCCTCCCAGAGTGGAGACTTTAGCATGGTAATGATGAAAGCCCGTAGCAATTCATCTGTAAGTTGCCCGGGTCTGTCAGTTGCTGATTCCAACTGACTAGGTCACTGCTTTCCGCAGAGAGTTTGGGAAAAAGGCTGCAAGGCAGGGGGTCGTAAAACACACTGGTCCTACAAGATCTGCACATGTACCCCAGAACTTAAAGTACAATAAACACACACACACACACACACACACACACACAGACACACACACACACACTGGTCACGCAAGTTGCTTAAATGCCTATAGTCTCTGGAGACCCTTTCTATCTGCTTACAAAAGGCTTGTTAAAGAAAACTTGTATTCTCTTGACTGCTGCTAAGGAATAAAGATGAAAGCCTGATATCTATGGCCATCAGACAGATCAAGGTAGACTATTCCCATTACCATGTGGATGTCAGGAAGTCTCTTCTTTATAAAGTAATAGAAGAAGCATGTCTAGATAATTTCCACTTGAAAGTGCCTTAAGTATCTAATACAGATCCTTTTTAAGGCTTTGTTCATTGTTTAAGAAATATCTGCTCTTAAAAAAATTTTGCAATGATTTTAAGGAATTGGGATTTAGAAGTCTAGGAAGAAGCAAAAATGATAGTGGAGATTACAAAATACGTAATTTGGAAGGAAAAGTATTTATACAGCTAGACATAATTAATAGACTGAAGAAATAATACTGGCTTATTTGAACACACAGTTTTATTTTGATGATATGTTTTAACAGCAGAGACAGTTTAGCTTTTTCTCATATTTCAATTTCACATCTACATTCCTTAATATATGACCCATTTCTTTGTGTTGATTATAAACATTCATATTTCTTTATTACATATATTTAATAATTTAATAATTCATACACATCTGATGCCATTTAGTCTTTCACGTGCTGAAATATCTATGACTTTGATTCAATCAACAAGTAGTGAAGGAAATCTTACTATGAGGAGATTATACTAGTTCTTGTAAATTAGTAATTCTTAGTAACGAAAAGAGTGACAGCCTGTTCTTGAGATAACAATATACAAGAGGAAATTAAATCACTCATGTGATATAAAGCTAAATATTGCTGAAGTCCCCATATGTGATACCAAAAGACAATAATGAGTAATTTTGGGGGTGAATATTTACTTAATGGAATCCATGTGTTCAGGAAACTGAGGACTCACCTTTGAAAAAAGTGATCTCAGAAGGCTTCAAAGAGAAGGGAGTCTGGTGCTACAACATGAACAATGGCTAGAATTTAGTTAAGGAAAAGGCCATGATTAAAAGTAATCCAGGAATGAGAATATAAACGATAAGATGCAATTTGAAGCACTTCGCCTAAAAGAACATTTAGCGTACTAGTGCTGCAATGCAGTACAGTGTAAGAAATCACGTTACTTCACACTACAGGTTTACAAAACAAATTAAATTCTATTTGGCACTTGAAACATGGAAATACTGCAGATACTTGCAAGCAAATTTGCAGTTCTCATTATGGTTTCTGCCTACTTTTTTGTAGTTTCTTGTTTCTTACATCTGATATTGTGAGTATATTTCAAAATTAAAAGAACATAGATTTTAATGTTTCATGAAAATACATTTTGTACTCTTTGAAAGACTAGAACATAAATTAAAAGGACCTGAACTTTTAAGTAGAAAATGAATAATATTCTGCTTTTATAAAGATCTAACCTAAGTCCTGTGTTTAAGAAAGTACAAATTCTTAATAAGTTTAAATGTGAGATAAGTTAAATGTGGGATTTATTTAAAGAGTAAACCCATACAAATTCATAAATATTTTCTTGATTTGCAGAAAGCATAGCTAATTCGTAATTTAAATGTGTTGCCTTTTGGCAATTAAGAAATATTGGTTTTTAATAATTCCTTTAATCAAATAGTCTCCAATGTGGATTTTATAAAATCCAGGTACCACGTAGAATCATCCATCAGACAGAGAAGAACACTTTTGATATATAATTTTTAAATAATTCATTCCTTTAAAATTATGTTTATGTATATTTTATAAAGTACAAAATAAATTCAAACAGTATCTATATTACACACATTCCTTTATTTATTTATTTTATTATACTTTAAGTTCTGAGGTATATGTGCAGATCGTGCAGGGTTGTTACATAGGTATACACATGCCATGGTGGTTTGCTGCCTCCATCCCCCCATCATCTACAACAGGTATTTCTCCTCTCTAATCCCTCACCCCCGCTATAACTTCTCTAGCTCTGCCACACTCCAACAGGCCCAAGTGTGTGATGCTCCCCTCCCTATGTCCATGTGTTCTCATTGTTCAACACTCACTTATGAGTGAGAATAGGCGGTGTTTGTTTTTCTGTTCTGTCAGTTTGCTGAGACTGATGGTTTCCAGCTTCATCCATGTCCCTGCAAAGGACGTGAACTCATCATTTCTTTTGGCTGCATAGTATTCCCTGGTGCTTATGTGCCACATTTTCTTTATCCAGTCATCATCGATGGGCATTTGGGTTGGTTCTAAGTCTTTGCTATTGTAAACAGTGTGGCAATGAACATATGTGTGCATGTGTCTTTATAACAGAATGATCTATAATACTTTGGGTATATACCCAGCAATGGGATTGCTGGGTCAAATGGTATTTCTATTTCTAGATCCTTGAGGAATCCCCACATTGTCTTCCACAATGGTTGAACTAATTTGCACTGCCAAAAACAGTGT